ATATGATAAGATGATACCCTCACAAGAAGAGAAATAATAGGCCTCTAGTTTACTAATAGCTGTGAGACTGATAGTTGCAAAGAATCGAAAAGATAGAAGAAAAATCCAATTAGAAGAATGGTATAGAGAAATTTGGAATATAGTGATTAATGCTAAACTTGTGACTTTAAACTTATAAAGGAATATGGAAGCAAACAGAGTTTTGGAACATATGGGGTAAATTTACTGAGTTTATATTCATTGAAGGAAAGGGGAGCAAACCTGCAAAAAAAATATGAAATTTTGGAATTAAAGGATAAGATGAGTTGATACAAGTGGAGGTGGCACAAGAAAAGGGTAAGGGATTGGGGAGGGGGGGGGGGATAAAACAAAATATACTTAAGTAGATAGAAGGTTGTAACAGAATTATAAACATAATACGTTTTAAGTGGGGAAAGTTCTAAACTAGATGGGAAGCATCTTATATCATGTTTATTGTTATTTTAGATTAGCAACTCTGTAAAATGTTAACATTCTTAATGATTTTACATATAAGCTGTATTAAGACATCAACCGTTTCTCTTTTCTTTTTTAAAAATACAGTGTCCTATCCCAACTTCAATACTGTTTTCAAAATGGTTAATTGTATATGCTATTGGGTTAAAAAAGATGAAAGCTATGACGGCATCTCTATTGACATAATCTGTTAAATCAAGAATCCTGGTATGATAAACGGCAGTGTAATGAGCTGGGGGGAAATGGAATTGGGAATAATCTCAAAATGTATGTTCTTGAAAATAGCTGAAACATGAATGAGACAGGTTTGAATCAATAGGAGGAAGGAAGGCTTCAGTAGAGAGAACATGTGTCCTATCTAATCTTATTTGCTTTGCCCAGAAATGGTACTGGTTGCTAGGTATTCTGAAGGGGATAGTGATTCATTTTCAGGATCATCTTTCATATGTCTCCCGCTCACACATATGGTCATACTCCCAGGTTGCTTATCCCATTTTTCTTCATTAATAAAAAAAATCTACACTAATTAGATCTCTGTGTTTATGCTTTCAAAGAAAGAGACCATAGTCTTCAAGTTCTTTTCTGGAGGTAATTTGTAGGTGCCTTCTAACATTACATTAGTAAGAGGGGGAAAAACTGCACTGCAACAATTGACCATGGCCACTTTTGTGCTCCTTCAAGTCATTTTCAACTTATGGCAGTTTTAAAGTGAATCTAACACAGTGTTTTCAAAACCTGTGGGCTTTCATGACAGAGCAGAGATTTGAACCCTGATCATGGTAAATATGCAAATCACAATCACCATGCTGTGTGGAATTAATACCAGTATGAGCCATTTCTTGTTATTTGGTGGGAGGGCCATAATTTCTGTTTGCATATGGCAAGTCATACTCTCTCAGCCGCAGAGGAGGGCAAAGGCAAAGCCCTTGGAATACACCTCGTTAAGAAAACCTTAAGGTCACGAACAACATTTGTAAATCCTTTCTTATTTTCAGCCCAGATGAATGCTTTCCTAGTCTGCTGATAATTGTTTCAGCAGTTCCTCTTGGTATTTTCTTCTAAATCTTTGACCTTGAAACTATGGTGAATCCTACAGTGGCTTCACCTAAGAAAACCAGAGTTATATTGAAAAACCATGTTGATGAGAGAACTACCACTAATACTATACCATGGATTACTGTAAAAATTAATTTGAAATTACTGTTACATAACAGAATAATACCCACCTGCCATAACAGATTCCAGCCAGTTTCTGTAGCTTCAACCCAGTGAACGCACAGTACTTTGCCTTGAGGAAAACACGTACTTTCCTATTTAAGAACTTTCCTGATTCAGTATTGTATAAAGAATATTTGTCAGTTGGAGAGTTCTTTCTGAGATACTGGAGAAGGTTGAATAAAGGGATTTGTTTCCTAAATAAATACTGAATAGAATACCAGAGTTGAGGCAAGAGGTTATTTAAAATTAGCTCTGTTTCTGTGGGAAAATGTTTAATGACTTGTTCTGACGGCCCTGGTGGCCTCCTGGTTAAGCCGTAATACAGCACAGCAGCATACTTTTCTCACTCTAGTGGGAATCTTCAATCCTTCTGCTTCTTGGTACCTCTGGTACGGTTATATCAAGCCTGTGGTTAACACTAAGACATCTTTGGAAATGAACTTAGGTGAATGGAATGTAGTGTCAATTGATACTGTGTCTACTTTTCTGTGGCTCAGATTTTTCCACCCCTAGAAGTGGAACAAGCCTCACTACTGTGTAGAGCATTGAAGCTATTAATGATTAATAAATGTTTCAGTATTTGTCAAGAAACAGAATTTGTCCAACTGCAAAGTTTTTAGGAGACACTAGAATTTTCAGTATAATTGCATTTTTACACTACTACTTTGATGTCAATGTAAAAATGGATGAAAGTACTTTCACTTTGTAATGTACTTGGTTTCTAGAACATTTTGAGACACACTGCTTTAGTTAATAGCAGATCCACGCCATTGAGATGGATCCCCATGGAGGTTGTTTCAATGAAACAAGTGGGATTTTGGGTCCAGTTTTATTCTACAGTTTTCACAGAGTAATTGGCCTAATTGCAAGCTAAGGGCTAGAGTTTGAGGAATTGGTTCTTCAGAGAAAACATACAGTTCATAAAGTGCTTCCTTTCAGTGGTCTGCTTCTACTTAACTCTTTTGAAGATAGTGTTCAGAGTTTCCTGTTCAGTGCTCGAAAACAAGATGTTTATC